GCCCGCGGCCGCCACCCCCCTGAGTCGCCTCACACACACCCGGCTGCCTCCCGCCATGTGCCACGTTAGCTGCCGTCCGCCTGCGGGGAGAGCTCCCATCGCATCTCCGGACTTGTCATAACCGTGGGAGGAAGCCTTGAACAACGTACACCGGGCCCTGATGGGGGGCGGCTGGTCCGTAAGCTGCTCCCGAGCAAGTTAACGGGGCTGAAAGGTGCCTGGAGACAAAAGCCGGGCTGGAGGCAGGGCCTGTGGGTGCCTTCTTCCTACCGGGGGAGAAAATGCCACCAATTAGGCAAAGATCTCAAAGGATTGAAAACTGTTATCCTCTTATGCAATCGTAGATACGAGGGTGCTGAGCGTGTTAGGAGAGCTGTTTAAAACTCAACCAAAAGGTTAAACGATCCCGACAGATGCTGGGAAGAAAATACCTGAATCAAGGTGACTGGTGTAGAGTGAGGCAGGCTTAGGACATCAGTCTGCCTTGTGTCGAGGAAACCATATGCGGACCATGAGAGGAGTTTCAGGGGTTTTTTAAGGAAGCCATTTTTATACTTGACTGCTGTTTAAAGATTATTTTTTTTCCAGAGGAGTAAGTGCACACAAACATCACTCTAAAATATAGACTTGATTGCAAAGTGTAGGCAATTACGCACAGCATTTCACTGGTCAAGAGGTGAAATTGTGTAAAGGATTGCCACTGCACACCTCTGAAGGGGGGGGAGGGCGTAAAGGCTTATTTGCAAGCATCATTAGGAATGTGTAGCTTTACGATCATTCTGAGATAAAATAAGTAGTGCTAATACTAAAGAAAAGTGCCTCTCTTTCAAAGAGCCTAAAATAATGGATTGATACTCATTTAATTGAGAGGATAAATTTTATTTCTTTAATAAAACTTTGCAGTTGCTGTGCTTACTAATGACTTCCAGCATATAATATTTGACCTATCTGGCCATTCAGTGCCTTTCTAATATGGATTATTCATCACAAGTTTCAAGTTCATTAGGAAAAAAAAAGAATCAAACTCGTACAAACTGTGCAAAATGGTGGATTATTTTGTACATGTTTATTCTGATTTGCAAATGGCTGCTGGCACTCACAGACAGGACGATTGTGAAAATTTCCCTAAGGGCCTTGATTGCTGCATCTGCTGAGATGACGCAACTCAAGAGTGAGCCTGCAGGGTGAAGGATGGTGCAGAGGGAGGGGCCACTCAGCACAGCCTTTGCTCTTCCTACACTAGAAGGCTTATTCGCTTAAGAAGGCTTGTATGGATGGGGTAAAACTTATGTTCAAACAAGAAATACGTTTCGTATCTTGAGGATAAAATTCTTAACGTTAAGAACTGAACTTAGCAGAGCAGTGTAAAATTGTTCTGAAGAATTCAGGAGAAAGGTTTTCAGATATTCAGGTGTGGTCTCGAAGTTAAAACTGGTGAGCTTTGTGTCTGAGTGTGGTGAAAGCATTTGAGGTCGTGACATCTGTGAGACTTAATGTAATTTTCTGACCTCGAGCCAAGAGTGCTGATGCAAAGGCCTGCAGTAATTAGGGTCGTATATCAGAGGGAAAAATATCCCTAGCTCGCTGGGCCAGTAGAGTCATGATAACTTAGGAGAACAAGCTGGGGGAGAAAATGGGATCTTGCATATGTGATAGCAGAATGATTCTTCTCTTGAGATCAGGTCAAGCACGCTGCTGCCTTGGTATAGAAACATACCTTGCTCACTTCACGCTAGGAGTATTTTCATCTCCCACTTAGTCTTCCCCTCAAAACACTGCAGTAGTAGCTTTCTGACCCTTGTGGGTCTGTGTGCGAGGCAGTGTTCCTGTCCCTGGTCTGGAGGTTCCTTTGTCTTCCCGCATCCTTGGGTTGCAGTGAGAGGAGTTCCCTTTGCCTAGGTTTGGGGTTTTTTTTTTTAAAATCTTGCCATCTGATCACTATTTAAAACCTAGAATTCACCAGCCTTTGTCTTGCACTGCCTGTCTCTCTAACTGTGATCCCTTTCTAGTTCCAGGGTTCCCTTCAATTGCTGTAGTAACCTGGGTCCGGGGCCTCGGTGGTGCTCCTGATGTCCCTCACCCACCCCTGAAGATCCCAGGTGGGCGAGGGAATAGTCAGAGGGATCACAATCTTTCAGCTAATTTATTTTATTCGGTGAGTATGAATAGTACTAAGCGGCTTGCTATGGGAAGCTTGAAGGCATTTCTTGCCTCAGGCCTATTAGTGGGAGTTATCCCTTCTCTAAAATGAAAATAACTTTGCATATATTATTGCTACAGGATAATCGGCTGAATGTAACAGAAGAACTAACATCTAATAACAGGACAAGAATTCTGAATGTCCAGTCAAGGCTTACAGATGCCAAACACATTAGTTGGAGAGCAGTGCTGAACAACAACAACCTCTATATAGAAATTCCCAGTGGTGCTCTGCCTGAAGGGAGCAAAGACAGGTGGGTAGAATAAAATCTGACTGCAGTTTAACTTGCCTCTGGCTTGAAGGCCTATCAGTAGGGTGGAATAACACTTTGCTGTTATTGATGTTCACTTCTGTTTTTCCGGAAGTTGAAGTCTAATTGTGGTGCTTGATGCTGTCTTGTAAGAGGCTGCAACTAAGTGATCCTGGTCTGAGGGCTGCTTCTACCTGTGTTGTCAGGCAGAACACCCAGCTCTGTGATCTTGAGCTGTGCTCCCAGGTACTGGGTGGCTGCTTTTATCCACTGAAAACCCCAGCCGGGTTCTGTCACTGCAATTCTTCTGCCGTAACACAAAAGCATGTTTTCTGTGTTCCTGAAGACTTAGATTTCTGCTTCAAGCTAAACCTAGGGCTCAGGGCTTTCCTCTCCCACCTTTGCGCCTGTGAGCTTGGCTCGCAGGGCCTTGCTGACTATCTCTGAAGGAAATGCTTGCTCGTGTGCATTGAACACCTTGTATTTGCCTTGCAGTTTTGCGGTTCTTCTAGAGTTTGCTGAAGAACAGCTTCGAGTTGATCATGTGTTCATTTGTTTCCACAAGAACAGAGATGACAGAGGTAGGTGTTACCTCATAGCACTGTTTCTAGAGATGTGGATGCTTTAATTGTACGGTATCAAATGGATGAAACTTATTTTCTGGTTTTTTTCTTTCTAGCTGCATTGCTCCGTACTTTCAGCTTTTTGGGCTTTGAGATTGTGAGACCAGGGCATCCCCTTGTCCCCAAGAGACCAGATGCTTGCTTCATGGCCTACACGTTTGAGAGAGACTCATCAGAAGAAGAATAGATTGCAATGTTTGCCTCTTAGAGCTTTCTTGTTGTCTATAAAGATGATTCTGTAGAAATTTTGTCAACATCTATTACAGTATATATAACTCTGTATGAAACATTGTGACCAACTGCTCTGGTGGTGAGATGTTGAAAATTTCAGACTCCACATCTTTTTCTGGATTTGTGCGCATGTTGTGGTTGTGCAAATAAATGCTCCCTCCAAATTAGCAGTATATTTCTTGAAGTTTAATATTGTGTTTGTGATACTGAAGTATTTGCTTTAATTCTAAATAAAAATTTATATTTTACTTTTTATTGCTGGTTTAAGCTGTTTAAGACTTGCACTCTGAAGAGATGCCTCTGGAACTGCCCCAACCATTAAAGTTGCAGGTATGGAAAGGTGTTGGTCATTCTTTGCTTGACTGGAACTCATGGCTGTGATCTACCAGGACTTGAAATAATCTAGCAATCCTGTAAAAGCATACTTTTAGTGGAATATTAGCAGGTTGTCTGTTTCACTGGTAATTAGGATCTGGTGCTTCAGGGCATGTGTTAGTTGGGAAGTCACAAGTGAAATGCCGAGCAGCACAGCTTGTGGGTGCCTTCACTGTTGGGAGTCTTCAAGTATCAAATACACAACTTTGATACCTGAAGTCTCACTTGCACCAGTGTGTGTTAAACGTGCAGGATGGCTCGATGAGTTCCTAGGAGGGTGTGTGGTGCTTCAGAGCTGAATGCTGTCACTGAGGCTGGGCGGCCTCCAGGCCATGAGCTACACCTCCCTGTGGGCTGAAGTGTAAGGAGAAGGGGTGGTTGTGAGGCAGTGCCTGTTGGTGCTTGGGTACTGAACAAAAGGGAAAATGGCTGCTTGTGTGGTGCTAGAAGTAACGAATTTGTGCTGAAGTTACTAGAGAAGTCTCAGTACTTGCAGCTTTGGAGGGTTGTTTGGCACCGTTTGAGCTGATGAATCTTTCCTCTCTCTCAAACCTTGGAGCAGTGAGTCCCTGGGGTGGGTTGTTTTACCACAAGGTTACGCTGTGAGTTAGTATAAATAGAAGGACATGAACTTCATGAGTGTGGGCTCTGCCAGGGCCCTGACATCCCCTGAGCTTGGCTTTAGGAGCATTGTTATGAAAAGTGTGTGGGGCCTCAGGGTCACCCCACAGGTCACCCCTGGGCAGATGTTCAGGGCTAAGCGGTGCTGGACTGGCATGGAGTGCACAGAATGTAATCCCTGACATTCCTTTCTTGGAGAGGGAGCAGATCCTGCAGTGTATCCCAGGAGGATGGCACTGTGTTCCCAGAGAGCCTCTTAAATTAGCAACGCAGTGAAAGGTGTCTGTTTAATTGGCTTCAGATATTTATATCGGCCTCCCAGCTTGGGCTGCTCTGCTCCTTGGGGCACGACATGCCGCACAGCGTCCCCTCTGCTGGGACTGCGTGTCAGTCCAGTGAATGCGAGGGGTCTCCTTCCTGTGGGTCTTCTGACAATGTTTTTGTAACCCTACGATCATGCTCTTCTTGGGGATGTTTGTGGAAAGCTGTGAACTTGCTGGTTTTGTTGTGCCAGAGGCCAGCAAAGAGGAGGTGGGTGTCACTGGGGAGAGGGTGTTCCTCTTTTGCTGAACAGGCAGGCAAAGGTCTGAAGTTCATAAACTGACTCTCTAGAAGATAAATTGTTTTCCTCAGTGAGGCTGTGCCTGTGCTGTGGTCTGCTTTCTGCGGGGACATGCAAGTGTGGAGATGGACGTGCTCCTGCCTTCAAGGCTGTGGTCCCCTGTAGAGGTTTCCCTGACGGTGCTCCAAGCTGCTCCTGGCAGAAGGGGAGGGGGTCACCCAAGGTGGAAACCAGAAACAGGGGTGCAGGGGGGTGCCTCAGTTGCTGCCCTGGGGCTGGGGTGGGCATACAGGCCTGGCAGAAGCAGGTTTTGTCTTTCTTTTTGCAGGATCAGATGCCCAAGGTGGCTTTGGGCGAGCTGCTGCCATGCCACGGGCTTTACTGCCATCTTGTAGCCACGCAAGATACTACAGGAGAGGTGGTGGGGAGAGCAGGGCTGGGGCTCACCCGGGACAACCCCTCCTGCGTGCTTTCGGCCCAAAAGCCCACACTGAAATTTGAACGACGTTTCTGTGGACTGGCTGTGCTTGGGTGGTGACCGCGTCAGGGGTTGCCTGGCTGGGGAGCTCGTTGGGTCCCCCCCTTGCTGAGGCTGTGCTGCTGGGTTTGGGTGCTGCTCTGGGACGGAAGGGTCCCCTGCTGCGCACGGAGCCTCACACACAGGGGCTGCGGCCTCGGCTGGGTCTTCAGACCCACTGCAGACCGGATGCTGAGGGGGGGGCCCA